GGGGCTGGCTGGCATGTGGTGCTGGGGGACTGAACCCCGGTCCCTGTGCTTTGCTAAGCTTGTTCTAAGTAGGTGCTTTAGACCACTGAGCCATCTCACCAGCCCTCATGATTCTTCTTGAATATGCTTCTGGTGGGTGGCATCATCTTCCTATTAAAAAGTTAGGAATTCCTACTGCAAACTTCATTAGGCTGTCCTATTGAGGAATTGCTATCATCGTATTGAAGTCTATCTTTCCTTTAGAGTGGTTAATATTTATGTTTGTATTCTCTGATATTAGGGGTGTACGTACTTGAAACTGTCACTGCCTCTTATTTAGTTGACACCTTTATCCTTATATAATGACCTTTCATAAGCTTCTCACTTCTTTTGATTTAAGATCTATTCTATACAAGTATCACTACTCCTCCTTTCTTCTGGATTATATTTGCATGCAATATCTTATTCCACTTTTTCACTGTCAGCCTGTAGAATACTCTTATAGGCGAAGTAAATTTCTTGTATGGTACCCTTATTTGGATGTTGTTTCTTTTCTGTTCATTCACTGCATGGCTTTGAATTGAAGAATTTAATTGATGTTCAAAGTAAATATTGATAGGCAAGTCTTACCAGAGCCATTTGGTAACTTGTTCCTTAAAAAATATTTATTTATTTCATACAGGGTCTTGCTATGCAGCTTGGACTCATAGTGATCTTCCTGCTTTCAGTCTCCCAAGTGCTGGGATTACAGGTGTGCACCACCACGCCCAGTCTCAATCGCTGTCTCAGTATACCCCAGGGGTGGGCTGGCACAGCACACCGAGGATCCAATCTTGGCTGCTGCGCTTTGCCTAAACAGGCGCTTTAGTCTGCAGAGCTATCTGGCCAGCCCTTGAACACATTTTCTGAAATGATCTTCTGTCTCCAGAGCCCTACATGCGTAACTCCTACATACAAGGATATTATTTGAGATGAAGCCGTAAAGATGTCCCAACTCAGCACATTAACATCACATGGTTCTGTTACTTCACCTGGAGGGTTTTGTCCACCATCTTTAATTTCATTCAGGATCTCATCCAGGGGCATAAGCTGCCAT